CCCTTACAGCTACAAGTTCATTAGGTGTGTGGGGTCTATGTCCCAGGTCACTGCAGGCAACAGTTAACCAAATGCTTTTACAATTTTTTGTTTTTAATCTTTGTGCGGGCTTATTTAAGTGGTTGATCCTCAGTCCTTACTATATATTTGCCTTTCCTATCAGGATTCCCCTTTCCTACAGCTTACTTTTCCACTCAGAGAAGTCCCTTCAACATTTCTTTTAAGGTAAGTTTAGTATTGATGAACTCTTAGCTTCTGCTTATCTGAGACGCCCTTTATCACTCCTTCTATTTTAATGATAATCTTGCTGAATAGAGTACCCTAGCTTGCAGGTTTTCCCTTTCGGGACTTTGAATATATCGTGCTGCTCCCTTCTGGCCTGTAAAGTTTCTGCAGAGAAATCAGGTGACAGACTTATAGGGACTTCCTTGTGTATGACACTGTTTTTCTCTTGCTGCCTTCAGAATTCGAACTTTTGCCATTTTAATTATGATATGTCTTGGTGTGCATCTGTTTGGGTTCATCTTGTTTGGACCCTCTTCCTGTACCTCGATATCTGTTTCTTTCTTCAGATTGTGGAAGTTTTCAGTCACAATTTCCTCAAATACAATTTCAATTCCCTTCTCTCTCTCTCTCTCTCCTCCTTCTGGGCTCCTTATATGTTATCCCAGAGATCTCTTAGACTGTTTTCATTTTTTAAAACTGCCTTTCTTGGGCTTCCCTGGTGGCGCAGTGGTTGAGAGTCCGCCTGCCGATGCAGGGGACATGGGTTCGTGCCCCGGTCTGGGAAGATCCCACATGCTGCGGAGCGGCTGGGCCGGTGAGCCATGGCCACTGAGCCTGTGCGTCCAGAGCCTGTGCTCCGCAATGGGAGAGGCCACAGCAGTGAGAGGCCCACGTACCGCAAAAAAACAAAAAAAAACCCCCAAAAAACCCTGCCTTTCTTTTTGCTGTTCTGATGCGGTGATGTGCATTATTCTATCTTCCAGATCACTTATGCGTTCTTCTGTGTCACTTAGCCGGTTATTCATTCCTTCTAGTGTGTTTTTTACTTCAACTATTGAATTCTTCATTTCTGATTGGGTCTTTTTTTATATTTTCTAGTTCCTTGTTAAAAACATTGCTGTGTAGATGTATTCTTCCCCCTAATTCAGTTAACATTCTTATAACCAATGCTTTGAATTCTTTATCTAGTCAACTGTTTCATTAGTAGTTTTTTCAGGGGTTTTCTACTGCTCTTTCAATTGAGAGGAGTTCCTCTGCCTTTTCATTTTGCTTAACTTTTCCTGCCTCTGTGAATTTAGGTGAAAGTTACCTCGAAGGAGTGTTCTTATGTAGGAGTGTCCCTATACCGACTGCGTGTGCCCAATGCCTTTTGTGGGAGAACTGAATTTGACATGGACGCAAATCATGTCTTTCCTCAGGGTGTGCTGACAGCTATCTCCTTGGTAGGAGGTGGGCCTGCTGGTGGAGGGGCTAGAGCTGGAGCCAGGTGTGGGGCAGGACTTCCCCTCTGCTAGGTGGCTGTCACTGTCCTATCAGGGGTGGGGTCTGATCCCAGGTTGCTGGAGCAGAAGCCCTGAGGGTCAGGCATGAGCTGGCTCTGTTCCCATTAAGTGGGTCTTTTCCTCTCTCCTTGCCCCAGAGCAGGAAGTGCTGAAGTGAGTGGGGCCTGTGTGGGCTCTCCGCTCATGTCAGCCTCAGACAGAGGTCTGAGCTGTCTCTGCTTCACTGCCTGTTCAGGTGCACATATTTGTTTCCCATGCTCCACTCAGATGCAGCCTCGGTACAAGTCCACTTTGACCCTCTCACCTGATCACTGCCCCCAGCCCCTGTCACCTCCACCTGGCTGTGGAGCCACACTGCAGAGCTGCGGGGGGCCCGTGTGGACTCTCGGCGTGTACCAGGAGTGAGCTGTGGCAGGCCAGCTGCTGTCAGAGGTCTGGGCTGCTTCTGCTGTGCCACTTGAGTAAGTGCCGACAATGGCTGCCGCTACCCCTCCCAGGCTCCACCCTGGGACTGGGTCACCGCTGTGTCCCACGGCTGAGTCTTCTTCCTGGTAGTGGCTGCCCCAGAATGGAATGAGTGGGACCAGAGAGTTGGCTTGGCTTGGGGCTGGGGTGCATGATGAGGCAGCCGCAGGACTTGGCAGCTGCTGGAGCAGACCTCTCTCTGCCCTGCCTTTGGGCCAAGCCTGTGTGCGCCCTCCTCACAAGCGGAGTCCAGGTCCCTCTGCCCTCCTGGGAGTCCCAGTTGCCCTCCAACCGGCCAAGGGGGCTCGTCTCCCCTGTGGAGGACGCCAGGACTCGGGCACCCAATCTGTGGTTCTCAGCACTCACTGCCCATGGTGGGTCTCCACCATGGAGTCTCCATTTTCTTCTGAGTCCTCTCCCAGGGGCACAGGTCCTGACCTGATCACTTTTCTTCCCTTCCTACCCAATTATGTGTGGATATTTTTTTACAGTCTTGATTGTACCAGGGTCTTTCTGCTAGTTTCCAGTGAAATTGTTCCATATGTAGATATTGTTTTTGTTGTTTTTTTCTTTGCAATACGCGCGCCTCTCACTGTTGTGGCCTCTCCCGTTGCGGAGCACAGGCTCTAGACGCGCAGGCTCAGCGGCCATGGCTCACCGGCCCAGCCGCTCCACAGCATGTGGGATCTTCCCGGACCAGGGCATGAACCTGTGTCCCCTGCATTGGCAGGCGGACTCTCAACCACTGTGCCACCAGGGAAGCCCCTTTGCCCATTTTTGAATTGGGTTCTTTTCGTTGTTGTTGAATTGTAGGAGTTCTTTATTCTGGATATTAATTCTTTTCAAATATATGATTTACAAATATTTTCCCCCATTCTGCAGGTTATTTTTCTCACTTTCTTGATAATGTTCTAATATGAACAAAATTTCTTAATTTTGTTGATGTCTTATTTATCTATTTTTACAATTGTTGCTTGTGCTTTTGGTGTCATATGCATGAAATCATTGTCAAATCCAGGGACATGAAGAGTCTGCCCAATTTTCTTCTAAGAGTTTTACAGTCTTCCCTCTTAAGTTCAGGTCTTTGACATATTTAGAATTAGTTTTTGAATATGGTGTAAGGTAAGGGGTCCAATTTCATTCTTTTACATGTGGATATCCTGTTTTCTCAGCACCACTTATTGAAAAGACTGTCCTTTTCGCCATTGAATGGTATTGGCAACCATGTCAAAAATCAATTAAGCATATATGTGAGTGTTTATTTATGAGACTGCTGCTTTTGTGTGAGACATTTTAAGGAAATATTTCCTCTCAGATTTTTACGCTTAGCTAAAACCTTTGAAGAAAAATCTTACCTCTAGATTAATGGCAACTTTTTAAAAGCCTCCATCACCTTGGCTGGTTGATCTGGTTATGAGATTGGACTTGGTAGAGTGCTATAATCTGAAATATTTAATGAATGAGCAAACCCCCAACGCTTTTATATTCTAGGAAGAATTCCAGACACAGGTCCCTGTATCCTCTACTGGTATCTTCTTGCCTAGGATGCTTCACTTCATAGATGGGTTAGCACTCATGAGACTGGAAAAACCAGACGAGCAGGGCAGCCTTGCCAAAGTTTCAAAGTGGTATGTTTACATTTATGCTGTATGAAATGCTATTTTTTGAATAGCTAATATCTGCACATTTTCCACAATTCAAAGGTACAAAAGGATGTAGCATGAAAATAAAGTAGTACTTAAAAAAAAAAAAAGCTTTAAGACATGAAACAAATTTTATATATACTGAATACAAAATAATGTTTAGTCTATCATCCCTTCTCCCGCCCAAAAACCTCTTTATTCTCCAAAACATCCCCTTCCCTTTCCCCAGCCATGTAGTTACAGTGAGAACAACCACATTTTCATCTGCGACCCAGGCCACTGGCCACTGGTTGATTTAGCTGTGGACATCTGATCCAAGGAAGGCCAAGGAGCTCTCTTCTTAAGGAATCTGAAATCAGGACTAAGAAATTGTATTTTCAGTCTTGTTGTTCTCTTGAACTGAGTGGCTGCTAGGAGCAGTTACTTTCTGCCCAGTGGACTCAGAAGGGAGTATGGAGACAGAAAACAATGAAGAGTAGGTACCAAAGACAAGAGAAGGAAGAACACTCTGGTTTCCATACAGTGTTTAGTCCTGAGGTCCCAGTCTTCTTCTAAGGCCCAGCAGCATTACTGCCCTAGGGAGCCTCACTTGTTCCCTCTACCTTAATAACAGCATACCCTACCTTCTGCTTAAGTCTGTTCAAGTAAGTTTCTGTTATTTGCATCTTAATTCATCTATTTTGCCATGCGAATAATGGGGTGTAATAAATAAATTAATCAAACATAATCAATCACTGCCAGGGACCTGGAAATCTTTTTTTTAACCCATACATACTGACAGTCAATTCAGTAAGTCCCCTACATACGAACCTTCATGTCGCAAACTTTCAAAGATATGAACGTGCATTCCATCAACATCAGGGGTGAGTGAAAGTGCAGCTTGCCCTCTGTCTCCTATTGCTGACAATCCCTCAGCTCTACCATCTCCTACCTCCTCTCCCTCCTCCAGTCAGTAAGTCTTCTTGCCTGTTCCCTCGATGCCAGCCCCTCTGTGCCAGCTGTTGTATTGCACTACTGTACTTTTCAAGGGACTGTACTGTAAGATTAAAAAGGTTTTCTTTGTTTTTTATGTATTATTTGTGTGAAAAGTATTATAAACCTATTACAGTACAGTACTATATAGCCGATCGTGTTAGTTGGGTACCAAGGCTAACTCTGTTGGACTTACGAACAAATTGGACTTACGAACGTGCTCTCGGAACAGAACTCGTTTGTATATAGAGGACTTACTGTATGGTAATTTTATTCATTGTTGAAATATTCTTTATTATTGTCAATGAAGAATTATAAACAATAACATGCTTCCTTCCTTTCATTTGCTTCTCAATGACAGAAACACTTTCTTTGAGACCAAAAATTAAGAGAGGAGGTTTACTCTACTCACTTGTCAGTGGTTCTTTCTCTAAATTGGAATCTTCTGGTGCATCAAAACGACCTTCTGGTAACTTTGGCTTCTTAAGGGGTTGTTTGATGGGTTTGGATTTTTCTCCTTGAGAACTTATTTTCCTCAAAGAATGACACAGAATGGGTGATCCTAGCAGAGTGAAGACAGTGAAAAAATAGAGGCTGTTCATTTATTCTACTTCAAAATGTAACACTTTTACTTACTTGTGTTAAGCTTATACATTCACAGTTATCAAAATTTTAAAGTACAGAAGGACACACAGTGACAACCCTTCCCTCTGCCCCCATCTTTGAGACGGCCAGTTCCTTTCCTTGGAGGCAACCAATGCTATCAGTTTGAAAAGAAGAGCTTTGAAATGAGTTAGTTAACCATTATCAAAATTGCAAAAACAGATATAAAATGCGGATTCCTGGGACTTCCCTGGTGGCGCAGTTGTTAAGAATCCGCCTGCCAATGCAGGGGACACAGGTTCGAGCCCTGGTCCAGGAAGATACCACATGCCGCAGAGCAACTAAGCCCGTGTGCCACAACTACTGAGCCTGCACTCTAGAGACCATGCTCCACAACTACTGAGCCCACGCACCACAACTACTGAGGCCTGCACGCCTAGAGCCTGTGCTCCGCAACGAGACACCACCATGAAGTCCGCACGCCGTAACAAAGAGTAGCCCTCGCTCACCGCAACTAGAGAAAGCCTGTGCACAGCAATGAAGACTCAACAAGGCAAAAAATAAATAATAAAATAAATTTATTTTTAAAACATTAATAAAATAAAATAAAATAAAATACGGATTCCTGTCTGAAGCAATGCCAAAAATACCAGGAATCAGATCATTAAGAGTAACTAAGTAGTAGGAACTTTTCAATGACAATATTTACTATTTAAATCTCTGTAAGTCACAAGGCACTGTATTTAGTATTCTTATATTTAAATCCTAATCATGCCCCTCTTTTTCCGCCAATTAAACATCTTAAACTGTATTGGGCACCTGCAATTTATAAATGAGCTCACTTTCTAGGTTACAATGAGAAAGGTAAGCTTTCAGTATTATGAAAGTTATCCGACCCTTGTTGAGATAATGTTCAGTAAGGGCAAAACCACTCTGAAAAATGACCTCAGGGTTGGGGTCTTCAACTTCCTGAAGGAAGAGCTTTAGAGGCAGACAGAGGTGGGTACCAATTCTGGTCACACCACTGTGGCAGGCACAGTAATGGCCCCCAAAGAGGGTGAGAACCTAGTATCTGGAAACTATGTGCAGGCTAGGTCACATGGTGAAGGAGAATCAGGTAAGAGATGGAACTGAAGTTGCTCATCAGATGACCCTGAACTAGGTAGACTGTCCTGGATTACCTGGGTGGGTCCACTGTCATCACAGGGGTTCTTAAAAGGGGAAGAGAGAACTGGAAGAGAGAACCAGAGAGGTGGCAGTGAGAGAGAGACTTGATGATGTTGCTGGCTCTAAAGATGGAGGAAAGGGCCACCAAGTCCAGGAACTTGGGCAGCCTCTGGAAGATGGAAAAGGGAGGAAACAGATTCTCCCCTAGAGCACCCAGAAGAAACACAACCCTAACACCTTGGTTTCAGCACAGAGGGACCCATTTCAGGCTTCTCACCTCTGGAACTGTAAGGATTTTTAAGCGACTAAGTTTGTGGTAATTTGTTACACCAGCAATAAGAAACTAAAACAAATACTTACTAGTTGTTTGACCTTTATCAAGTTATTTACCCTTTCTAAATCCATTTCTTCCCCTCTAAATTGAATATAACAGTATCTACCTCATGAGCTTACTAAATAGGTTAAACTGGACAATTCAGGCAAAGCACTTAGCACAGTGACAGACTGTATCTATTATTGTTATTATAGAATTATCTGGAAGCTCCTGATAGCATTACATGTAGTTAGGATTTTCTTTCACTACATGTATTTTATTCATATTCCAACAATGACTACATCACCCTACCCCCGCTTTAAAAAATTATATATATATATATATATACACACATGCAAATATATATGCACAAGTATTTGTATGTATATATGTCTCCATGTATATATATATATACACCCTCCACAGCCAATTTGGAATTTACATTGACATGTTTGTAAGATTACATAAAGTTAACATTACATACAAACTGCATTAACAATTTCAAAATAGTACATCAGGCTGTTAATTTGCACGTCCACTGCATATATCTCAGTGTCTAGCAACATTGTTGATTGTCTGAATGTCCAACTGTAATGCAAATTAGTCTTCAGCCAACAAAATTCAAGGATTAAGAAAATAAATATACAACTGAATGTATTAAGAAAACTACAACGACTTACAGAATTAATATAGACTTCTCCCATCTAAATACTCACTTACATAAAATACTTCACATTTATGATACTAATTGGCTGAGAAGAATCTGTGAATCAATAAAAATTTCTATACATATTAAAATAAAAACACTTACCTAAAATTTTAATGTATTTATTGAGTTAGACTACAGACCATTTTGCCTTCAAACTTCCACTTCAATATTTAAGGGCATATTTTACCTTTAATTATGTCCTCAAAATAATACTTAGTTAAGCATGCACTAAAAATCAAAAGAGAAAAACCTGCAAAAAAATATCTTGTAAAGCTGCATTTATTTTTATTAAGAAACTATATGGGGGCTTCCCTGGTGGTGCAGTGGTTAAGAATCCGCCTGCCAATGTAGGGGGCATGGGTTTGAGCACGGGACCAGGAAGATCCCACATGCCGTGGAGCAACTAAGCCCATGCACCACAACTACTGAGCCTGTGCTCTAGAGCCCGCGAGGCACAACTACTGAGCCTGCATGCCTCAACTACTGAAGCCCAAATGCCTAGAGCCTGTGCTCTGCAACAAAAGAAGCCACCGCAATGAGAAGCCTGTGCACCGCAACAAACAGCAGCCCCCGCTCACAGCAAGTAGAGAAAGCTCTGCGTGCAGCAACGAAGACCCAACACAGCCAAAAATAAAAATAAATAAATTTATTTTTTTTAAAAAGAAATTATATGGGTAACAGAAATATGAGTTTCTGATTGTACTAATATATTTCATATAATAATCTGTTCTTTGTTTTTTGTGGTTGACTATTTAGAAAAATATTATATTGAAAATGTTGGTGAATATAAACCATGCACAACTGAAAGACATTCTAGGTCCCAAATCTCACGGATGTCCATGCTTGCCACTATTATTCAACATAGTTTTGGAAGTCCTAGCCACGGCAATCAGAGAAGAAAAATAAATAAATGGAATACAAATTGGAAAAGAAGAAGTAACACTGTCACTGTTTGCAGATGACATGATACTATATATAGAGAATCCTAAAAATGCCACCAGAAAACTACTAGAGCTAATCAATGAATTTGGTAAAGTTGCAGGATACAAATTTAATGCACAGAAATCTCTTGCATTCCTATACACTAAGAACGAAAGATCAGAAAGAGAAATTAAGGAAACAATCCCATTCACCACTGCAACAAAAAGAATAAAATACCTAGGAATAAACCTACCTAAGGAGGTAAATGACCTGTACTCAGAAAACTGTAAGACACTGATGAAAGAAATCAAAGATGACACAAACAGATGGAGAGATACGCCATGTTCTTGGATTGAAAGAATCAATATTGTGAAAATGACTATACCGCCCAAAGCAATCTACAGATTCAATGCAATCCCTATCAAATTACCAGTGGCAGTTTTTACAGAACTGGAACAAAAACTCTTAAAATTTGTCTGGAGACACAAAAGACCCCCAATAGCCAAAGCAGTCTTGAGGGAAAAAAACCAGAGCTGGAGGAATCAGACTCCCTGACTTCAGACTATACTACAAAGTTACAGTAATCAAGACAATATGGTACTAGCACAAAAACAGAAATATAGATCAATGGAACAGGACAGAAAGCCCAGAGATAAACCTACGCACCTATGGTCAACAAAGGAGGCAAGGATATACAATGAAGAAAAGACAGTCTCTTCAATAGTGGTGCTGGGAAAACTGGACAGCCAAATATAAAGGCATGAAATTAGAACACTTCTCAATACCATACACAAAAATAAACTCAAAATGGATTAAAGACCTAAATATAAGGCGAGACACTATAAAACTCTTAGAGGAAAACATAGGAAGAACACTCTTTGACATAATTCACAGTAAGATCTTTTTGATCCACCTCCTAGAGTAATGGAAATAAAAACAAAAATAAACAAATTGGACCTAATGAAACTTAAAAGCTTTTGCAAAGCAAAGGAAACTACAAACAAGATGAAAAGACAACCCTCAGAATGGGAGAAAATATTTGCAAATGAATCAATGGACAAAGGATTAATCTCCAAAATATATAAACAGCTCATGCAGTTCAATATTAAAGAAACAAACAACGCAATGAAAAAATGGGCAGAAGACCTAAACAGACATTTCTCCAAAGAAGATGTACAGATGGCCAAGAAGCACATGAAAAGCTGCTCAACATCACTAATTATTAGAGAAATGCAAATCAAAACTACAATGAGATATCACCTCACACCAGTTAGAATGGGCATCATCAGAAAATCTACAAACAACAAATGCTGGAGAGGGTGTGGAGAAAAGGGAACCCTCTTGCACTGTTGGTGGGAATGTAAATTGATACAGCCACCATGGAGAAGAGTATGGAGGTTCCTTAAAAAACTAAAAATAGAATTACCATATGATCCAGCAATCCCACTACTGGGCATATACCCAGAGAAAACCATAATTCAAAAAGACACACGTACCGCAATGTTCACTGCAGCACTATTTACGATAGCCAGTTAACGGAAGCAACCTATATGCCCATCGACAGATGAATGGATAAAGAACATGTGGTACATATATACAATGGAATATTACTCAGGCATAAAAGGGAATGAAATTGGGTCATTTGTAGAGACATGGATGGATCTAAAGACTGTCATACAGAGTGAAGTAAGTCGGAAAGAGAAAAACAAATATCGTACATTAATGCATATATGTGGAACCTAGGAAAATGGTACAGATCAACTGGTTTGCAGGGCAGAAATAGAGACACAGATGTAGAGAACAAACGTATGGACACCAAGGGGGAGAAGCGGCGGGGGTGGTGGTGGTG